GTGTCGTAGATACTTTTAATTAGCACTCGAACGCAGAAAATAAAGACCAAGTTATCAAAATATGAATGGTAGTGATACGCTATCACAACCACACTTATAGTCGCTCTTGGGTTCTGATAACGGATCACTCCTGACTCGGACCTTTCTTATTTGGTACGAACTGGTTCATCCTAAATTTGCCAGAATTCATCTCATCATGAACGAAGTTCATTTAAAACCATTCTGAATTTGTCCCAAAGTAAGTTCTGGTTGAATATCAATTCAACGGTTCTTCACTTAATTGATTATTTAACACTTGTTTTATTGAAGAACATAATGATTGATACAAAAGAACACCATATATGAATCGAGAACATCTCACTGGATCATCTGCTTCATTTTTACTGGTTGTCCACATTAGATTGCTAGCTCAAGAGCTGTAATTTTATCGAAGCATATTTCTCGAGTACAAAGTTGAGCATCAAATCAATGTCAACACTGATTTTCTTATCCGCTTTTGAATGCTACGCAGTGACATTTCGACACGATAGTATTGGAACTCATGTGGCTCTTGTAGAACTAAGCCTCCTTGTCCCTGGTCAAAAATCCTGGCGTTACTACTACGAAGGAGAAAAATGGAATTTACTCACTAATTGAAGCCGTCCATGTGATTATTAGCATGCGGGAACTTGCTCCAAAATCTCATTGTGAATATTCCAGTGATGCTGTCTGAAGCGAACCGATCTACCAGTAACGTGCGTTAACAAAATGTAATTGTTGAATCATGTGACGCGATCATCAAATGTGTACTGATTGATAAGATCAATGCATGTATTCCCAATGAGCAAAGGAGGGATGCATGTGAGGTCAATAGCTCTCGAAAGACAAGTCTTGACGTTTTCTCACTTTTCAAATGGTATATTTTTTTCGGTGCTCCGAGTAAGATATTGAATAAGATCAGTTACAAAGACTCATCGAGTCATACTCACACCCTCTTGTATGAGTATTATACAAGATTGTGTTTGTAGTGATATAGACACGATTGGATAACAATGAGAGCTTTTTGATCATTTTACACTAGATGTCTGTCAGAGTGAATAACTTTCGACAACAAACCGTGTTATCTAACTGGAAGCAACGCAAACGTCATCCTGATCACGAATTCGAAGAGTCTTACTTCAGATACTTCGTTTATTTTTTATTGTAAGCATCCTTAAAAAAAACGATTAATTTTCCTTTTTATATTGAATTCATTATAAATTGATAGATTTTCCAGAGTTTATTTCAAATGAGACTGACTAATACCATGTTTCTTTATGTCACGAATAGTTAGGAACATTGGACTTAAATGAATTTCCATTTTTATCTTATTTTGTGCACAACAAAGTGATAATTAAGACACTATTTTTTGTTGTTGAAATTAATGGACTGCTCATACTATTTCTTTCTATAAACTGATCGAGTTTTCAGAGAAAACTATAAAGAAAATATGTCGACATATATTACTATGAGACTTCTGCTGAGATATGTCAATATATTTCGATTATCTCAAGAGCGAAAAATCAGAAAATATTCGTTCGAACACAAGAATAAAATTTAAAGACCAAACAGAAGAAATCTCTTTTGTAATACTTCAGACAATTTTTCATTTGCCAATAACTCCTCAAAAAAAAAAGAAAACCTTTGTAGAGTTTGTTTTCAAAGTTCGAGATATTTAAAACGATAACAGTATAAAAATAATAGTAGCCGTCATCTTATTTGAACAACTGAAACGATGCATCACAGCTGTAAATACAATTGATGATGGATAATGAATTGTATAGATGAGCAAATATCAATTAGTATTATTCTTTAGAAACATGTTGATATGCATTGATAGGGCTCTCATAGTAACGAATATTACAATGTTTACTTTTCAATTTGATCAATTGACCAAAATATAACTTTTCTAACTACATTGGTAGAAAATAAATTCCAGTTAACTGTAAATATATTCAAGAAAACAGTGTGTCATAATGACCCATAGAAACGATCACTCGTTTTTTGTGATTAATCAATATGTCGATAATCGATTTAAGTGAAGTTAGCAGCCAATTTGACTTATTCCATCAGCGATTCGCTCAGGAAGCGTTTCAATGACATTCTCATATCATCTAATCTCTTGAAATAGATTGAGTTCTAGATCATTAAGTTTGTTTAGATTAAGTTTTTTGAATAAACAACATTTAACAAAAAAAAATTGCTGTGTTTTATTTTAAATTCAAACGATGCCCTGAAATCATACACATATAGCATATGTTCTGAACGACTAATATTTGCATTCACAAAATATTTTTGAAAAGACTACTTGTGATAGAATGTTAGTAAGGAAATTTTCGCCCTTTCCTGTATGTTTCTCTGATGACCTTTCAGAGGAAGGGGAACAACACCAACAAAGTTATCTTTCTGAAAAGAAAAAAAGTAGTTAGTCAGGTTATCAAACTGGTTTTAGACTGTGACGATCTGTTATTCAAAAGTTTTTCTTATGTAGCATTTGCTTTTAGCCAAAAAAGAACTAGTATACTTCTTATATAGGGATACTGATTTTGTCTGAGTTAGAAATTATTATTGAAGCATCCATTGGTTCTCAAAACTATCAGAACATATAAAATAATACAACAGAAGCTGTGCTTTTGCTATAAGACTTGATAATCTATAATGATAAGGCCTTTTTCTGTAGAAAATTATTTATTCTATCTTTAAAAATCATGTATTAAAAAAAAGATTTCTATATTAAAAAAATAGTGATGTCGACTTAGAAATAATTATTGATAAATAATTTTTGTTAACATGAAGAATATTTTTTTGCAGTGATAAATACATTCGAACAGTTCAATCTTGTATATAAGAAAGTCGCAATACAAAAATGATTTTCTTTAAACATCATCGGTGAATATCGATTTTGTTCTGAGCTAGAAACACATCACAAACGAAACTACACAGCGATTATACTAGACATCTTAAATAAAACTTATACTATTCCATGCAAGGATCCATAATGTGATAATACGACGCTTTTAACATTACAGTATATACATAAATAATAATTAAAAACATATATTCTAGTTGGTAATTCTATTAATATGCTTATATTTCGAAATAAGAAATGCGACAACATTATTTTGTAATATAAAAGTTAAGTTATATTATCAAATAAAATAAAAATTCTTATATTTGCTTCTTTTCTTGGGACTATCTCTTACCTGATATGTTTATTAATTATTATGACTATTATTTTCGTTTCTCAAAAATTTTCAAAAGATGTATAAAGTGTGTAATCATTATCAATGATTAATTTAAAAAAAGGGCTCAATAGTATGACATTTAAAAGTTGACTTTTTTCTATAAAATAATAGTATTTTTTCTTGTAAAATAACGTTGCATTCATGATCACATTATCTAAATAAGTATGTCCTTGATCTTGCTGAAGACAGAACAAACCATAGAGATTCAAGTTCTATATTACATTCGAGAGATAGATTATTAATAATCTTAGAACAGTTTAATACTTACAAATCTTGATTTTTGAGATGAAAAATAAAGTGTAATATTATGAATTAAAGATTGAGCACAAAAAACTAAATCATTACTAACTATAGAGTTGTGAATAAAAATTTTAATCTAATAATTACATATGCACTAACTTTAGGATAATGTTTTTTGTATGAATATCTTAACTTTAGAGGAGAAAAATAAACTGTAGCGATAAAAAATCAAATCTAACTTATATTTTAATTAATTCCTTTAGTAATCATGAATCTAATAGAAAAAAAATCATATACTTATTTGCAAACAATTTCTCTTTCAAAAAAGAGTCATTTCAAGTTTAAACAAAAAATATATTTACAAATACTTATGTAATTTAATATAAAATTTACTTAGATGAATAATCTGATACTATAGAATATTCTTCAGATACTCTAGTAAAGAAAATCACAACGAATTGGAGAAATTATTTTTTGCAATATAAAAACTTTTTCGTCTTAAAGAAATATCACGTATCACTTGAACCACCAACAGACAGAAAATAAACTTATGAAGCATTTTTTCTGGAAAATATTGTTCATGATAAATACATCTGTACTCTCCATTAAGGCTTTTGTCACTAATTTCCGTGCACAGTTTGCTCGAGACTTAATTTTTTTACGAAAAATATATTCTAAAGAAACACGTCTCATCAAACTCAACTTTTTATGCTATTTCATAATAATATATTTATTTTTAGTTATTGAATAAAATTATGATCATCGAAATTGTTGAATGCCAGTTCATTTTTGTATGATGTCTCTATTGAAAGTGAAAGAACCGATATTCTCAATAAACGTTGTATATTTTTCTGAAAAATGTTTCATAAGTTTATTTTCTATCCATTGACGCTTCCAATAATGTGTGACATTTAAGAAAAGTTCTTTGAGCAAAGACAGCTTCTGTCGAGCAAGGAAATGATAATCCAACACACCTAAATATAGACAATTATACTTCGTTTTTGATACTGAATCAGAATAACATAGTGTAAATAATAAATACGATTTATTTGACTATGTGATTTAATGTTTTTTTTTTGCTCAACGAATATTACATTAAAATTCATCGGTGATATTCGTTGTATCATTTGTAAAAACAAACAAAAAAATAAAAAGTCAAATAACGAGATTTTATCAGATGTGATTTAAAAGAAGATGTAAACAATATCCTAGATAATGAATTTTATTCAAAAATACTTTACATTCTTTTGATAGTCTTACGAAACTCAGTGCACGATTTGATAATATTTAGTCACTTGAACGTCAATGTTTTACATACATGAACGCTCACCATTCTCTTTCGTTAATACACAAATGATGTGACCTTTTTCTTATCAAAACAAACATTAATTTACAGAAAATATATATTTTCCTAATCTTTATTTTACATTCGATTGGCCCTGTCTTTTTTTTTACTGATAAAATTTGAAAACAAAACGTTAAAAATAAAAGAAACTGTTAACAATAAATCCAATCTCGATGATCTCTTGGTCGACAAAGTGGTGGACAAATATATTTTCGATTATACACCATAAGGGAGGTTATGTTGGTACAACATGGTCTTATACATCCAAGAAAACAATTATCAGCTAGTGTTCGTCGAGAAAGAAATGGTCTACCACTCTGTTTACGACAATTATAACTATCGAAAATCAATGCATGTTTTTTAACATTTGACCAAATAATATATGCAAGAAAATCTTGATCACCACCCGTATAGGTATATTGACGAGCAATTGATGGTATGAGCATCGATTGAAAAATATAAAATAAATAATGACGAGCACGTGCGGGAGCTGCACCCCAAAGTCCAGCTAATATAGGTACACCATGTTGCTTATGATCACGTGCAATAAGGAAGAAATATTTTTTCTGTTCATCAGATAGCCACATATCAATTGTTTCAGTATCACGTTTCATGACCGGTGAATCAAGATCGCGTGAAAGAAAATAATCAACAAATGGATCAAATATTGGTAAAAAACGCCACATTCTTCCTGGTAAATATGAAACTAATGATGAACCAAACATAGGTATATTGTGTATATCACATATATCAATATTTGAAAAATTATAAAGAAAGTCTTGTTGAGCTTTTGTACTGCCACTAAAATCAATATACAGACGAATAATCCATGATGGAAGAAGTAATTTAACTTCATCAGCAAGTGGTATCAAAAATGGAAATATAGTTTTTTCCCATGAAAACATTGCATTATCAGTATATTTTGATGATGTTCCATAAACCGAAATACCAATCACTTTTTGATTTGGTCCACGAAGATTTGATTGAATACTGCATAATGATCGATTCCATTGAGTAAAATTTTCATAACTATGTACTGGTTTTTCTCTTGAAGAATTCAATAATTTGACTTTCGAAGTATTTAATGTTTTACCTTCCGAATAATTCAATAGTTTTATTGTTACTGGAACATGATATTCAGCTTTATTTATTTCCGTATATTGACTTATTCGAAATGATAAAAAGTCCGTATGGAAAGCAAGTATTAGAATTCCAAATATAAAAGGGCCTGTTAATCGAAAACATCTTCGTCTACATGTACGAGGATAATACAAGTTGACCATTTTTTATTTATTTTCACCAATGTATTTTTTTCTTTCCTATTATAGGTACAAAAAGGTATGCAATGATGTGTGACTTTCATCAATGTAAAGCATTCGCGTTTTTTTTTTTACACACATGTGAGTTTATTTTCCTTTATTGGTGTTAGTGGCAATACGATTATACATGACAGGCATAAGGTAAGGACAAAAAAAAAGACGCTTTTTTTATCACATGCCTATCTTTTATTTTATTGGTGAAAATTTCTCATTACTATTGTAAGTAGTTTTGTCACAAATCAAGTATATGTTAAGTAGTACAAATTACTATTTAAGAGAAATTTCTATTTTGTAGTTTTTTTTCGAATTCACGAAACTTAGATTTTGAACTTTTTATTATAATATAGAAATATTCAATATCATGTTCAATAACTAATGTATGTCGGCTTATTCTATCAGAAAAATATCTATAGATATTTGTCCTTCAAATGAAAACGAACCGTACAGTAAAGTAACGTTTTATTTTTATGTTAGTAATAAAAAAGTGAATATCAACCTGATAATGAATTTCTATATTTTGAAATGAATTCAAATATGAATTAACAAAGAGAAAATTTATACAGCTTTTCATTTATTTTATTTGTATATCCCATAATGAAAAATGAAAAGTTTCGATTTCATTTCACCATTTTCAACTAAAAAATAAATGACAAGACTATTGACTGATCGAAAACAACAAATTAGCTAAATTGTAATAAATAAAAAACTTCATATATTTTTTTTTTCTATAATTACTTAGGATCATGCAAAGGTAGTGACAGGGACACCTTATTTCTGTATAGTTAGTTTGAAGAATAATGTATTTTTTAATATGTAGTAATTGTACAAACAATATTCTATTTTTCTATGGTATTTAATCATTCTTCCATTAATATCATAATAATAATATTTCGATAAAAGCTATTTTTTACGATATGTGATAATTATACTAATGTTTATCTACAAAAATAAAAGAGTAATTGAATATATTTTGGATAACTCTTGATAGAAGCAATATAGAGAGTTGCAATTTTCATCGTTCGAAAGAGGAGATGAAGATACATCGAATCGTGCAGCATTACAAGCACTTTTTGACCTGACTTTTTTTTATAGGTTTTCAATCGATTTCTTTGAAAGAAAATGTCATGTATTCAGGGTATACGTAAAAACCAGAAAATGTATTATATTATCAATTGCATAATACAATAAATGTCAAGGTCAATAATGATGTTCTATTGATTTGACGAACAGAGACAAATAACAAGTTAGATGAAACAAAACTAACTAGAGTAACTGACGATAAAAAAGAGAAAGACGAACATATATATATATATCTGTCTATATATGCATAGAAATGATAACTCATGTTAATGAAATGGAGAATAGAATAAAGAAACAAAAGAAATATAACAATAGAAATATTGTTATATACGAAATTAGAATAATCACAACACAAAGGAAAAGAACACATAAATATATGTATAGAATTATACATATATGAAAATCATGATTCATCAGTAGACAAACACCAACAGATAAGAAATGAAGTCAAATGTAACAATAATAACAATTATTGTCAATACACTACAGAAAACCTAATCCGTGAGGTGTTTACAGAGAATTTTCAATTGTCAAATATGTATTCAAACCGACAATGGAAGAACTATAAAATTGCACAACCCTTCCATGTTTCAAATTGATCATATAGAAGTTATAGATATTCTAGTCGAAACTCTAAGTCATTTTTCTATCAATCTCTATGAAAAAAGTCTTTTTTTTGTTGTTGCTATTTTCGTTTTGATTTAAAAAGACAACTTTTTCGATACTTAGAAAATTGACTAAACAAATTTCAGTCAACAATAGTAGAAAAACCTATAATATACGATTCAATGTATCTTCATCTTTTCTTTCGAACGATGAATATCAACAACTTTCTTTATTATTACTGTTAAAAGTTATTGAAAATATATTCAAACGTCCTTTTATTTTTTAAATGAGCGTTAGTATAACTATTACATATCAGAAGGAAAACATCTCTTATCGAACTTATATCAATATAAAATTAGTTGAAGAATGATCAAATACCATAGAAAAATAGAGCTTTGCGTGTACTATCACTGCATATAAAGAGAAAAAATTTTCAAGCTTTTTTTTATGGAAATAAAGTATCTCGGTCACTACTTTTGGATACCTCTAAGTAATACCCTAGTCGAACATCTTGTAAGCAAGATCTTGAAATCTTGGGACCGATAAGCAAGATCTTAACCCTTTGGGTTCGGGCGACGCACATGTGCGTCTTGGGATTTTGCGCACTGAATACCTATAGAAAACATGGTGTTTTAGTTATTTAATGGTATAAATTGCATGAATATTTGTATTTAGGATATTTGTGCGGTTAAGGTTATCTATAATTAATGATAATTATGGGTTCTCCCTTAATAATTCAGGTAATCAGCATATTATTTAACCCTTTGAGTACGACGAACATGTTCGTCCTAATATCGGTCCTATAAAANTGATATTTGTCTACTTTTAGTATTAAATTGTTATTTTAAATATTTCAAAAATTTTTTTTTTTTTGAATAGGACGGTTGTATTAAAGTTTCTGAAGTTCAACTCTATATGTTATAAAAGTAAACGGATATCATCGAAAGATTGAAAAACAAATGTTGTTTATATTTTTTATTTTGAAGCATTTCCGAAATGAGATTGAAGATTTATTTTCCTATAATGTACAATGTTCTTTTTTCTTTTTGTTTTAGACTAGTTAAACTTCTCCGCATTTGAATATATCAAAAGTATTCATTTGAAATGATGGTTCTGTAATGAAATATGAATGGTTTACTTAACTTTTGTAAAGTAATATTTGTTCATCAAATTAAAAAAAAAAGTATGTTAATTAAGTAAATATATTGTAAAGCACGATCATAATGCGTATGAAAAGTAAGCTAAACGACTCTGACTAAAAAGAAAAGTTTCATTAATTCAGTTTACCCGTTAACACTTCCTTCATGTACAAGGAAAGATGTTTCAGGAAATCTTTTTTCCTGTTTCTTTCTAGGGAATTTTTTTGTTCCTCATTGAAAGATTTAAAAATGCTTTATTTAAATTGAAAGTCTGAAATGAGATTTCTCAAAGTTATATTGATCAATATGATGATTTCATTTATGAAAAAAAGTCATTTTCATGTCAGAAGAAGTTGAACTATATAATTGAGAACATTTTCCGATCAAAACAAACATTCTAAAATCATATGACAATTCATTATTTCTTTAAATCTAAATCCACAAATGTTTTCTTTGACAGATCTCTTGAGAATACGAGGTTAACAATACACTTCCGTGGTCTGAATGAAGTCTATCTGACGTCATTTCTTCTTATATACAAATCAAAATAATCATCTTTTTTTTTTCTGAAATATAATTAATGTTAACAACATGATATTATTTTTGATCGCCTGAGAATAATAAGTATAAGTCGTCTTGCCTCTGATTTCTCTGTATACAATATGTTCTTCTTTTCTATATGCATAAAAAATATTCACAGTATTTTTCGAACAAAATATCTATTGTTACGTTTTCTAGGCATTAAAACAAAAAAATGTCAATGTTTCCTATCTGATTTTAATATCGTTCTAATATCTAGGCATCATTACAAAATGATTTTCTTTTCTATGTGTTTAAATAATACTTGAGGCAATATATTGAAAAAACAAAACGAACTAAACAATAGCAATGAAAGAAAAATATATGAATCCATATATGATCAATCTATTGTTAGTTTTATTACAGAGAAATACAAATGAGATATTTTTGTTTCTTCTTTCTATATATAAATATATATAAATGAATTATTCAAATTCAGCATTTATCTATGAAAATCCAATTTTTCATGACTTACTTTGACTTTTATATAAGTTTTATTCATAAAAGTTCTTATAGTATATAGTATTGGAGTTTTTTTCCCCTCATCACCTCCGCAATTTTTACTCGCTGCTTTCCCGTCTATTTTCATCTACTGTCTCATCTCTCTTATATTTCTCTGATTAACATCCGATTATTTCAGTCATTGTAAATTATCTATTTCGTTTTATTATATAGAATAAATTGATTCTAATGCATAAGAAAAAAAAAAGAAAGAATCAGATTTTGTTTTCGTTTATTGACATCAAATCATATATAATTCTTTACGAAAAGAAAATCCAAACTCTTTGTTTTTAGACAATTCAAACTAAATAAAAAAAAAAAAATATTTAATTTTACCTCAAATATCAAATGTTCTTGTTGTCTTTTTTTTTTATTGTTTATATGCAAATGAAGTTCGATCAAGAAAACTAATCGACTATATGGATTAGCCACAAATTTGACTTAAAAAAGCGAGAAAAAAAATAATACGATGGTTGTGCAATCGAGCACAAAAAAATCGATAAATAGTATTGTCGTTTGCTATGATTTTCTTATGGTTTCTCGTGCTTATATTCGTGCTTCTATTAAAAATAACAAGTGTAGGAGTTAGACAATAACTTACGATAAAGCTAAAAAAAATCTAAATGGAATTTGCCCTTTTCCGTTATGTGTTCCTCAGTTTTTTTTTTCTCATCATCTGAATTTCATAGATGTCTTTTCTTTCTTCTTTCAACTCTTTGTCAACATATTTATTTGATTACTTGGCACTTCAACATAATTATCACTCGATGTTTTCCCTATCCGCTATTTAACAATCGTACGATTTCTATCTCGTATGTTTTATAACACTTCGAGAAAATTGAAGAGTCGGAACAAATAGAGACGTACTATGTGCTTTTTTTTTACAATTGTTGATCTTTTTCTGCCATTGATTAATTTCTTGTATATGATAAATATTGACCTTTTGATTGTAGATCAATAAAAAAAATATTAAATTCAAACTAAAATTTTATGTTTTTTTTTTTTTTGTGGAAATTATACTAAGAATATGATTATAACAAACATAATAGATTATTAAAG